GTCTGAACCGCTGGCAGTTGTTGCAACGTATGCATCAAGACTTTTGGAAACGATGGTCCCACGAATATCTGCATACATTGCACCAACGCTGTAAGTGGAATCAAAACAGTACTCCCATAGCTCCCGGTGTATTAGTTTTGATTAAAAACGAAAATTTCTCTCCCTTAACTTGGCCATTGGCCCGCGTCACGGAGGTACACCCTGGGAAAGATGGGGTAATACGCGTAGTTACCCTCAAAACGGCTGGTGGCACATTCAAGCGACCTGTCGTAAAAATTTGTCCCCTTCCTTCAGAAGCTTAGAAAATGCATTACATGCATTTTGGTGGGCGGAATGTTCTGTTTTCACCATCATAAATTCATAGTTGTATTGTGTTGTAATTGTTAGTTGATAATATTCATTCTTAATGTTATTTTAATACTATTCACTAAACTCATCCTCCCTGTATGTCTGCTTTCGCGAGTCCGAGAGTTTAATGTTAAGGCCGCCGCGAGCGCCCCCTGAACTTTTTGGGTATAACAAGTGAAAAGGACAGACGATTTTTGACTTCGACAGCTACCGCAACCACGTTTTGTTGTTGTCGAATCAATCAATTTGACTCTCATGTTTTCCCACTGATCTTGATATATTCAGATCAACTTTCATCTCATCATTGATCTTATGATCTAACAATTCAGTGATTTCCCACCAATCTTAGTTAAGTGATTTGGCGCGTACTTTAGTGACGTGTAACAGGACAAATCAGGTGCTGGTTACCAAACTATCCTGTGCTTCTGCTTTACCGCCGGCCGGCTGCAGTTACGTGTGGTTACGTCGTTGGAAGAAAACTCGGTAAGAACATCAAACTCTCACGCACAACGCATACATCAAAAGCAGTCCACTCAAAGTCAAGTGAATCGATTCCCGCTTACAGCGAAAAAGGGATATTCACAAAACAAGTATTATTTGATTCTTTTGATTTTAATTATACTTCATTTTAATTAGGCCTACTAATTCTACCGTATTCTATTATAACACCCACTGTTAGCCTATGTGGCCTCAAAATTGTATATTTACCTTGCTGTATCGTTGTTGTTGTGAATAAACATTATTATTATCATTATTATTATTATACCGTGGATTGCTGTATAATATGGAAACAAACAGTAAAATCTTGTTTATACCATGGGATAAACTCAATTGATGACGATGAATCGCATCTGCGAATTTACATACTTACACTGTCCAAGAAAGCAGATGCATTGTGGTATTGGGCGCTATGCGGCATACCCTACAGTTTACGTCAGATAACACTTTATTTATAACGGAGTCGAAAGCTCCATACGGCATGAACCTCCATGTTTATGACTTCAGCTCGCCTGACTACAGCAAAAGCCGAAGTCCTTTAGAGTGGACCCATCCTTCAATGGTCTTGATTTAGACTAAAGGTTTGAGCTCATCCAGGAAATTACTTGTGCCACTCCGATTTATTTTTTATTTTTTCTCGAGTAAGGACATCAAGCTCGTTTTCTGGGCCAGGAACTTTCCGCTCACAGTCGAGAACCAGGTCAAAATTATCATGGGCCCTGAGCAGTATAGGGAATGCTTCCACTCGTACGTCGGAAGAGGAAGTACTTCTACTTCTGCCTCTTCATGGCTTGATAACATTATTTGTAGATAGTTATACCAAAGTTTACAGAATTGCTAACTTCGTAAGTCCTATCTAAGAGCATTTCAATTGATAAACTCTTAACTAAATAGTTCAGGACCTCTTTGATCTTTTGAGAGATATAATCATGAAATGAAAGAACTAGAATGAAGACTCCTATTTAGCCCGCTCTTCACTAATTTTTTCTGGATAGCTTCTCTTCACAAGCAGGTGAATAGGTGATTTACGTCTCACCCACATTCCACTGCGTATAGAATACACCGAGAGAAATATCTATTTACGGAATTGTAAAACCTTCATGAGATTTCTGAATTGAATGAGCGCCAGCATAGTTCCCTTTCCACTGTTATCAAATACATTATTTCAAGAAAATCATATAACTATGAAACAACACTTATATGAAAATGCAATGACGCCCATATAGGGGTCAAATGATTGGCATTTCGATATAGTAATATTATTAAAATGAAATAATAATCATATCAATATAATTTTCTTTCAATTCAATAGTCAAATTATTGGCATTTCAGTACTAAGGTAATCGGAGTGAAGATAGTCGAGAAATATTGAAGTCATATCTACTTAGTATATACAAGGTGAGTCAGAATGAGACCGACAAGCTTTGTTCACGGATTCCCCACCTCATTTTGAGGTGGCAAATGCCTATCAACGTATGCCCTAAAATGCACCCTCACTGAGATACAGGGTGTCGAAAGTATGAAAAAAGTTGAGATTTCTCTAAATTTCTCCAGAACCCCGTAGCAAATTCATCAGGGTAATCTCATAGAGTTTTTATTTCTTAATTTTGTCAACCAGTGGCGTAGTAAGGGTCGTATATCACCACATTTTCCTCCATATTTTTCCTTAGACAGATGAATTGTCAAATTGGTGTATGACATCAGTTAGTCTTATCAATACCTAACCTAAAACTAATGACATTTGCAAAAAACTGAAGATATGTTTTGGGGTGGAGACCCAATTCGCTGCGTGCCATAATCGAGAAATCACAACATTTTCAACCTGAACATTTCTGAATGTTGATAAGATTAGAAGCATGTTACGAGGGAGTCAGAATTAGTTCGAAAAACTTCTATTACTTCTTATTCCATCCAAAACACAGGAGCTGCTAGTGTCTTCAAATTCCAAGTTAACTAACGGGTCTAGTGTAAAACTGCTCGAGGTCTTCATTGACGATAAACTGAACTGGTTTAGTCATATCAAATTTTTAGAAAAACACTATCGAGTGTAATTTTTTTGCTTCGACAGCATGAACATTCAATAGATATACCATCTCTACTATCCTCTTATTATGCATTATTTCACTCGCAGGTGAACTATGGTATACTACTTTGGGAAAATTTCAGTCATAGTATTGATATATTCATCCTACAGAAGAAAGTTTTGGGAATAATTGCAGGTGCTGGACCGAAAGAGCATTATCGTCCATTTTTCATTAAGTTTGGAATTATGACGATATCATCTTCATTTATATTCAACATATTACACATAACTTCACATTTACAATAATTCTACTTAATTTGGCATCCAGTCTGACCTACACAACTATCCCACAATTTCAGGTGATTACATAAGAAAAGCCCGTTTCAAGCTCAATATTTCTGAAAAAACTCCATAAACACTGATCTCTGCAATAAGCTGGGTCCAGCTTGAAAAAAAAAATGAATCAAAACACTTTTGAAGCAAATATTGATGAACTCCTTCTTGAACATGCCTACTACTCAGTTGAAGTTTTTCTTAACTGTGAAAATGAACTCTGGCAGAGGTCTCAGCGAGAAATTGATGTTTTCATGAAACCTGAATTATAAGGTTGTTCATTGCATCCTTGGTATATGTCTGTATTTATTGTGTTTTTATCTTCGAGAAGGAATGACATTCATATGTTACGCCATTCTTATTTGAGGGAAAAATTTCCTTGAGATTTAGCTCATTTGACAATTAGTAGCATGCTCAGATCTTAAGGAAGGAATATGCAGCGATGTCATTACAAAGCTCTTGAAGCAGCAAGTAGAACACAATTATAGCAATCCATTATTCGCTCGAATCTTGGATTGTGAGTGAGTGAGTGAGTGAGTGAGTGAGTGAGTGAGTGAGTGAGTGAGTGAGTGAGTGAGTGAGTGAGTGAGTGAGTGAGTGAGTGAGTGAGTGAGTGAGTGAGTGAGTGAGTGAGTGAGTGAGTGAGTGAGTGAGTGAGTGAGTGAGTGAGTGAGTGAGTGAGTGAGTGAGTGAGTGAGTGAGTGAGTGAGTGAGTGAGTGAGTGAGTGAGTGAGTGAGTGAGTGAGTGAGTGAGTGAGTGAGTGAGTGAGTGAGTGAGTGAGTGAGTGAGTGAGTGAGTGAGTGAGTGAGTGAGTGAGTGAGTGAATGAGTGAGTGAGTGAGTGAGTGAGTGAGTGAGTGAGTGAGTGAGTGAGTGAGTGAGTGAGTGAGTGAGTGAGTGAGTGAGTGAGTGAGTGAGTGAGTGAGTGAGTGAGTGAGTGAGTGAGTGAGTGAGTGAGTGAGTGAGTGAGTGAGTGAGTGAGTGAGTGAGTGAGTGCCGGAGTAAGTGAGCGACTGTTTTGAATCAATTTTCGAATCAATCGAGTGGTCTATTGAACATATTCTATTGTAACTAGTATCTCTCGTGTTATGGAGATAGTTGAATATAGATTTGTTGAATTGGAGTATTTGAACTTTCTCACTATATTTTGGTTGGAAACAGATGATTCTCCACAAAATGTCATCGCATTTAAAGTTTCACTATTGGAAACAGAAAAGTCAAATTCAATCGATAGTCAGAGACAACTTGTTTGAGGAATGTTTGTGAAAAAAATGTTGTGGAAAAATATTGAATTCCACTCATCTCCAAACGGAATATGGCTGTTAATTTATTCCCAAAACATCCAGAGATAATTGAGTTCAATATCCTCCGATATACCAATTTTTTTTCCTTCAAACGTATTTCGAAGAAGTTCCACTGACTAATGTTGACATTTTTTCAAATAAATATTCTAGGGCAAATTTGGTGATTCTCCATGAATCGTTATATTGGGTTATCTCCGAATATTATCCAGGAGAGAAGTCAAAGGAACAGTTTATCGAATCTTTATACAAATAAAGAACTAATCTTCTGAAGTATTCCCTATAAACATAAAAAAATGCAAGTGTCATTTATTTCGTGACACAGATTAGACATACACGAAAAGTTTGCATAACATCAAACAGAAAATATAGAGAAATTCAAGACCATCACGCTAATATCGATGCAAATCCAAATCCCCCTTCCAACCACAATAACCTGTTACACAACATCGCCAAATCAATCCCAAGCCCACTCACCTTTGGACTCTTGAGCGTAGAGCGGAATGCAGGAGCGGGCCCAGAGGATCAGCAGGAGCAGGAGCGCCCCCCGCAGAGGCTCTCCCCGCCGGCCCTGCATCATCGTCACTCGACGCACTCACATGATCCTGCGGCCGCCACTCGACTCACCATGCTGCGAGGCACTGACGCGCCGTAAACGACGCCTGACGACGCCAGGCGACATCGCGGCGCTGCCTCTACCGCCGCAGGACTCACGCAGGAGCGGTTATGCAGTCGAGCGGCTGCGCACTGGACGTGATGGCGAGCGAGGCATCAGCAGGTGACGAATTGTCGGGAAGTTACAAATACAAATGAAGACCACAGGGAAGAAAGGGGGAATGTCACAAGAAGTAAGTTTCGAGAAAAACGCATTTCAAAGTTTGAAACCTCCTCACTTTTTGGAAGTTGAAGGAAACTGAAATCAAACCACCTGGATTCATTTGATGGAGTATAATGAGCAATAAAGTTGAACAACTAGTAATAAAAATCATATTTGAATGGAAAAATCATCGAAAACAAGAAATAAGTCCAAAGATTCATGGGAAAAATGGGGAATGTCCAAATAAATTGTCAAAAAAACTTGATTGTTTACTCGCATTTATCTGCTCTGGTACATTTTTCCACTCTTGCCTACGCGATATGAGTAGGTTTCATCATGTAGCGATGTCATTATTTCATTCCCATCATTCAGACGTACTCGACAAGCCCAGTCAACACACCTTTTCATCGTCAACCGCGAAATATGTCGTACAACTCTTTACCCAAACTTGTTTATACATAGAACGGCAAAGCTTTGGCATTTTTTGCCTAACAGAGTATTCCCAACTTATAATCTCCTGAAGTTGAAAGAAATCACAATACCTACCCCCTCTCCCTATCCTCCCTAGGTACCCACAATGTTTCCCTTTCGTACGCTCCAAGAGATGAAAAAATGGTGACCGTATCTCTTTTTTTTCTTATATTTTGTTTGCCTGAGAGTTCACTCTGACCTTTTGACAGTGTGGAAACAACCTTTGTTAAAATCACAATGGAATCTGTATTCAAGCAAGCACTAAGCTTGGATGTTCCCCTTTCATCACATTTTTGAAGTGGACTTCTGCGTTTTTTCCATGTGAACGTATTTTCGAACGAGCATATTAGCTGACTATGCTGCGTTATTGCAATCGACTTCTGTTTGTACTAAAATATAGTGATTAAGCTATCAGATGGCGGTGTCAAGTCAATTTCCGCTATATTGAGACATTCCCCATTTTTCCCCTGTAGTCTTCAAATACAGATACAAAATCTTTATTTCCATCGACTGAAATACATCAGTGTAGGCATTGTCAAGTTCAGAAAATATATAAAACTTGATACTTATACTTATGAAATTGGACATAGCAAAATTACATTATATGTTATACTAGCAGCACTAACATAACATTATCTAGATACATTGAACATGTTAGAATTGATTTTCAAAAAACTCTTGCAGGGAGTAAAAGGGTTTTCTTTCAATGAAATTGTGATTTTTGACTTGTTTGAAGCAGCTAATCTGAGTAATTGTACGAGGTAAGTGATTGTACATTTTGATGGCTGTAATTTCAGGACCATTTTCCACTTGGCTTAGTGAGTAAGGTGGAACATAAATTGTACCTGCAGCTCTAGTACAAAGGCTATATTCCGAATTCAACTGGTCAGTACTGTCAGTTAATCCACTCACTCTGCTGAAAATCTGTGTTCCGAATTATAAATTCAAGATTGCAGTGCTGTAATTCGGAACACGTTTTCATGGATTTCATCAGTAATCAGCAGCAGTTGATCAGCTGATGAAATTTGAATATCATTCTCAGCGTCAACCGGCATTTTCTGATCTTAAATATGAGATTATCAATTTATTATTGATAAGTCAAGACTCAATGTTTATAAAACAACAGAAATCAATGTGATATTCCTTTCCTTCTAAAATAATGACAGTTCACTGAAGCCACACTACCTTTTGATAGTCAGCAATTTCAGCAAAATGTTGAGTCGAAACATTTGCGCTTTTGCCAAGTTAGTACAATGGGTGTCTGTAGAATTTCCCCAGCAAATCAGTCCATAATATGAGATTATTGAGTGAACTGCAGCGTAGTAATATATTTTTGCTCGCTAGGTTTTTCACCAAATGAGCTATGTGGTTGTCGCATGCTAGATGAGGATCAAGCCGTAGACCCAGGAACTTTACTCCCTCAACCACGAAATAGCCACAATGCTCAAAGTGGAATGACATGTTGAATGAATGCAAAAAGCACAAAGTCATTTCCACACAGTGTTCATAAAATGAACAACAGTGGTAGATTTTGTGAGAAAAACCAACTACTTCCCTGGCTAATGCCACGCAGGACATTGAATCCTCCCAAAATCTATGCATCGACTCGTATAAACGAATACTCATTTCGATTTCGATTAAGTCAGGTCGCTAGACAACCACAGACCGGTTTCGAACTCTTTGACTCTCATCAGTGCAGTGTAGTCTCCAGCCAGCAGTCCTAAGACCGCCGACTCAGCGAAGCCTAGCCAAACATAAATCAAGTAGGTAGGCATTATATTCACCCCGAGGCGTTTTTCATCGACAAAATGAAAGTAACGCCATCTCAGTAGAACAGAGGAAAGAATCACTCCAAATCTGAGATTCCCATACGGGAGTGGCTGGTTGCCCGACTCTACTCAGATGGCGTTACTTTCATTTTTTCGATGAAAGACGCCTCGGGGTGAATATAATGCCTACTTGATTTTTGTTTGGCTAGGCTTCACTGAGTCGGCGGTCTTAGGACTGCTGGCTGGAGACTACACTGCACTGATGAGAGTCAAAGAGCTCGGAACCGGTCTGTGGTTGTCTAGCGACCTGGCTTAGTCGAGATCAATAGGCAATCAGGAAAGAATCAATTGTATCAGTATTCGTTTATACGAGTCGATGGATAGATTTCGGGAGGATGTAATTCAATGTCGTGCGTGGCATAAGCCAGTGAAGTAGTTGTTTTTCTCCCGAAATCCACCATTGTTGTTCATTTCATGAACACTGTGTGGAAATGACTTTGAGCTTTTCGCATTTATTTACTCCCTCAGCTGGAATTACGCTTTCACAGTCGCATTTCAGCAGAAGGCTGTAGTCTGGTTTGACACCTATTGGTGTGAAATTAATCGAATTAGTTTTTTTCTTATTCAAAACGAGGCCACTCTGCGTACTGGAAGAGCATATGCTATCTACGTTTTGATTTGCAGAATAAATTACATGAGGTATGCTTTTACCGGCGATTGCTGCACTAGTGTGTATAGTCGGATCAACCAAGTTATGCAAACGAATAAAGTGGTTAAAACGCACTCTCCTTTTACTCTGTGTGTGGCTTCCATTTAATGATGCTACCAACACTTTATGTGCGAGAAATAATGGAAATTTGAGACAATTTTTCTGCGCAATCGAAAAAGGTGTTAATTTGATTAGGTATTGAAACAGAATGACAATCACTTCGTTCTCAGCTCCAACTGTAAAATATCCATATAATAGACGCTGAAAAATATTTGTTTGGAAGAATATGTTGGTTTATCACACTGAGTATTTGCCAATTGAGGCCTCAATTCATTATCAACTCGCTGGTTTTCTCAGAATTCTTGAATAAATATCCCTGGAATCACATGGTGGAATTGTCCGATGAATTGTGTGGGTCAAATTTCCAGTTTTATGGTGTGAAATTGATGTTTTCATGATAACCCTTCACAATTCCAGATCGTCGGAGACCAAATATAATCCACTCATTTTGTTGGAAAATTTCATCACGTGATTCAAAGCATAATAGTTGATTTATTCTGAAGGAATCAACTATTTGGTAATGCATTATCAGTTCGTCGTTAATTTCGACAAGTACGGGGTATTCTCGAAGGTGTTTTATGGAGGAATATTTTCTTGCGGTTGATAATCAATTATCTTCATAATCAACCCTCAAAACCAAGTTATGATTGTGTTTTCCAAATGCACACTTAATACGCATGCACAGTCAACAACATTCGAAAACTATGAAACGTTTGAAGTGTCGTCACCAAGGAACTGAAACAAAGAGTTGTAGGAGTGGATTGATAATCACTTTTGAACAGGAGTTCGTCCAATCCTCTGAACTAGAATATTTTTGGACCTGCGGTATATATGTGAATCGATTTGAACAATATTTGATAGGAATTATTAAGTTTTCATTCTACTAGCTTTCGAGATAGAAACAGTTAAGAAAGACTTAGAATAACATGAATGATGGAAATCAGAGAGGAAGCTCGAAAACAGAGCATCATGTAAAAAGATATCAGACAACTATGACACAAGATAGTGTGTCCCACTTACCATGCTCACCATGGGTATCTTTTTAACGGTGATAGATACGAGGTCGGTTAAATGACCCCAAATGTAGAGTTTGTCAAGGCCAACTATAATGTGTAACAATATTTTGATAAAATCTATTCGTTTTCGTTTTATAAGCAAAAAACAGATTTTGATCATTTTCATGTCTCCTCCGTAACTTCTTTATTTATGAAAATATTCAAATAGGAATTTCACATTCTCATGTCAGTTTTCCAAAGTGATTTCGAAAAAAATATGACATTTATACCAACTCTTCTAGAATTTGAGATATCAGCACCAACTTCAGTTTTTCAAATGTAGGTCATAGCTCACTATGACTTAGTTACAAATAACTTTTTCCTCTCTTACAGATGATGTGTCGCAGTAATAGTTTTGTGTTGATAACAACGGAGTTATCGTCATTTATACAAAGACAAAAAATTATTTGGAAGCCGCCATCTTGAATTTATAAATTTTAACAAAAAAAATCATGATCTCCGACCTCAAAAACCTCCACTCACCAATTTTGAATTGAATCGGACCAAATTTTGTCAGCCATCTTGGAGCAGCCATTTTTTTTAATTTCAACAAAAATTTCATAATGTTTTGTCATCGTAATTATGAACACCTGACGAATTCCAAGTTAATCAGTGTTATGGAATTTTTGTTGAAATAATAAAAAAAATGGCTTCTCCAAGATGGCGGACAAGATTTGGTCCGATTCCATTCAAAATTGGTAATTGGGGGTTTGAGGCCGGAGATCATGATTTTTTCGTTAAAATTCATAAATTCGAGATGGCGGCTCCCAAATGTTTTTTTGTTTTTGTATAAATGACGATAACTCCGTTGTTATCAACACAAAACTATTACTGCGACATATCATCTGTGAGAGAAAAAAAGTTATTTGTAA